GTTTTTATAGGGAGAATTCGGTTTTTATAGGGAAAATTCGGTTTTTATAGGGAAAATTCGGTTTTTATAGGGATTCCCAAACAGCGGCTCCGAGTCACCCCTGAGGATTCCCCATTGTCCCAAAATTCCCTCCTGCCCCCGCCCCGTTCCCTCCATCCCAAAGGATTCTCCTCCAAGAGAGCAAAAGAGGCGATTTTGGCTCAATGTCGGGCAAAAAACCCCAAAATTAAAATTGGTTTTTATTAAATTGATGGGGAAAATTACAAATCCAACACGGTAGAACATGGGGGAAAGAGATGGGATTTTGGGAAAAACAAGGAAGAGAAAGGAAAGGTTTGGGTAAAAAAAAGGGGGTTAGGGCACAAAAAAGGATTTGATGGGAAAATATTAAAAAAAGAAGGCAAAAAGTTGAGTTTTTGGGGTGAAATCCGGATTTTGGGGGACAAGGGAGGGGAGCGGGACAAAGGAGAGGAATCTGAGGGTAAGGTCAGAGGATTTGGGGATAAAAAGAAGGATTTGGGGAAAAAATAATGGCGACATTCCAAGAAAATAAAAGGATTTAGGGCAAAACTGGGAAGTTTGGGAAGGAAGAAGAAATTTAGGGAGAAGAAAAGAGAATTTGGGAGAAAAAAAAAAAGGGAAAATTCCTCTCCCGTTATGCAAATAAAACAATTCCCGCTCAAAATGCAAATAAGCGAATTCCTAATTTGCATAAAGGGAGGAGCCACACCCAATATGCAAATGAGGCTCGAACCACGCCCATCACCGCTTCAACATCGCTGAAATTCCAGCCCCGTTTTTGGGGTAAAACCGTGGGAATTCGGGGTTTTCCCGCCGATCCAGCCTTGGGGGGAGGGGCTCAGCCAAATTTTGGGGACCCCCCCAAGTGGATTTGGGGGTCCCAACTCCCCCCTCAGGCTTCGTCCTCGGTCAGGAGCAGATTTGGGACCCCCCTGGAGATGGGGAAGCGCCGCCCCGAGTCCGGGCACTGCAGGGACCCCTCCAGCACCTCCACCTGCGGGTGGGGGGGAATTTTGGGGTTCCGGGGGGGTTCCCCAAATTTTGGGACCCCCCCTTCCCCCAAAAGGGGTTTTTTTGGGGTTGCTGACCTCGAGGAGGACGTGGTGGAGGCGGCGCAGGAATTCCTCGTCGGCCTCGTAGCCGGGGGTGGGCTCGGGGGGCAGCTCCGAGGGGCGCCCCAACTTTGGGGGGGTAAAAAGTGGGGAGGGGTCAGAGGGGAACCCCCAGAGCCCCAAAATTCTATCCCAGAAAACAAAATTCCATCCCAGAACACAAAATTCCATCCCAGATCCCAAAAACGGCCCCAAAATTCCATCCCAGAAACCAAAATTCACTTCCAGATCCCAAAACCACCCCCAAAATCCCCCCCAGACCCCCAAAATT